CGCGGCCTACATGCAACATAGGTCCCAGGCAGACACTTGACCCCTCGGTAAGTTTCGGAGAGGCCAGCGTGGTTGGACCTCTGGTTAGCACAGACACAGGTTAAAGGAAAATAGCTTCGAGAAGAGCAATGGTTCAAGTCGTTAGTTGCCTCCAGTACATTGACTGGACACCATTAGATCACCACTGGACCACCACCAGTTCTGGAGTCGGAAAGAACAAAGAAAACAATACACCTTGAATGTCCGTCCTGTCTCACGAATTCACAGTAAGCCGAATGTCCAGAGTGCAGAACTGATTGCACAGGCCTTTCTTGTTATAGAGCCTTTCAAAATTAACTTCCGGTCAGGGCTGTGCTGGCAACCGGCCGGTTGGACAGGGCCGGTTGCACCCCCGGTGGTCTAACCGGAATTTCGATTGGGCCCAAAAGTGGGTCATTTCTTTTGTTTGTGTTTTTGTTTTGAAAACATGGTTGGACTGCACTCGCCGAGATCTTCCTGAATCCGCAAAGAAAACTTTGAACAGAGAAGCTTTATTTGAGGGGTTGCCGGGGGGGGGGGGGTTGTATTTCAGGGGTTGGGGGGTTATGGTGAGGGTGTTAGTAGTGGTGGGGTTTCAGCAAGCACGGGCTTCAGCAGACATTGACAACAACGTACCTGGCTTTCTGCAAACGTTGACCTTCCGCCCAAAAACTTTGAAAACGGGGGTGGGGGTGTTAGTGGCAGGGTAGGGATGGTACTTCCCACCCAAGAACTTTGAAAAGGGGGGGAGGGTGATAGTGTTATGGGGTGCTTGTCACTTCTGTCTGGTCCAAGTTGCCCTCGATACTGGTAGGGTGATGGTCCTGAGTGCTGGTCACAGTAGGGATACGGGGTGCGCTGGGAGCATTAACGTGGGGAAGGGTGGGGAAGGTGGCCTGTCCTGTCAGGACAACCACCGGCTGCCACTGCCAGCGATCACCGTGAGTCTAGTCCTTGGCCTCTACAACAACCTGGGTGTGCTACGGCCAACCGGGGGAGAACCGGCCTGGTCGACCGGCCGGTAGGACCGGTCCGGTTCCGGTTGAGGAAGGGCCCCCCCGTCCTACCACGTTGACAGCACTGCTTCAGGTAAACCTAACGGTCGCCCACATACTTGCTCCATTGGTGTGCATATATCGGATTAGCGAGCCGCCTTAAACATCTCTCATAATATGTTCTACACTGTGGAAAGCTAAATCTACATGAGGCCTAGAATGCATTGGTAAAAAAACTGCCTGTAATTATTATACGGATTACCAAAACAAATACCCGCAAGAGATCCAACCGTGACTGGCGTTTGAAGCACCACTACCTTTCCCGCTGCTGGGAAAACGGGAACAACCTACTTCTAAAAAATCAGAGGCTGGGCCCGACGACAGCCGCCGTTGATAAATCTCATTGGCAGCCGTCGTTTCGTTTCGGCCTCCTGAAGATTCGGGAACCCGACGGCGGCCCACATGGGAAAAGGTAGTGGTGGTTTGAGGAGATGGAACAGCACTGCTCTGCATGAACTTATCAAGAGGGAACTACCGGTGGCTCATGGACTGTGTTGTATTGGGGTTGACACATTGGTGGAAAAGGAACCGGACTGATGCTTCTTATATCAGAAAGCAGCAAGCGGACCATCAGGCCCCTCGTTTTGCGGGGAGCAGGGGGGAGAGGACCAGCACCAGTTTTCGCAAGTTTTAGAGAGAACAGCACAGTTTTGAAATTTAACTAGCGACCTACGCAAGTTCGAAAGAACAACACAGCTTGGCTGGCTCAGAAAGAACAGGAGACCATACAAATCATTCTCATCATCAGAGATGCAGAGGTGCCGGTTGGTTTAAGACAGGACATCAAAAACGCCAAAAGCAGTGCGGGTTTTAACGCAGGCCACAGAAGTGCAAAAACAGATGACCAAGAGTGATCTCAAAACAATTTGGAGTTCCTGCCAAAAGGATCGCTCGATCTGAATTTTCTTCATGCAGATGAAGGGTGCGTTCAAAATGGAAACCACTTCCACATTGACTTTTTAAGACTTTTAAGTCAACCGAAAAGGCATACGCTGACTTTAAGCTCAACGAAAAGGCAACTACTGGATGAAATTCCACAAGGGTGAATCACCCTTTTCCAGAAGATCCCACCCAAAGAGATTGAAAAGAAGAAAATTTGACATCCATAAT